GATCACCAAGCGTTCCACCAACTGGGTCAAGCGATCCACCTTTGCATTCAGCTCCTTGTTGTCACGTTCAATGGTTGCTATCTTTTCTAGATCAGTCCACAATTCCTTCTTACAAATAGGATCTGAACATGCTGCTTTCTCTGACAACATGATGAGGAATAACACAAGAATCAGAGTCGAAATGGCTCTGATACCAAATTGATATGCTTTCTAGGTTGTACACCCGTTAAAACACAAAATACTTTAACCAAAGGTTACACTCCAGTGAATACCCTTTTCAGGCTAGCGGAAGCAGACTACAAACGTGAAGTTTGAAGGACTTTCTAAGGAATCAAACCCAAACTCTCAAAGACGCATCTACTAAGAGATCGGAACAAAAAATCGTTCTAAAAAAATATAGCACTCAAAATTGCGTAAATTAGGTCTATCTTTCATTGTAGTATAAGGGTCCTTTTAAAACAAGACTTATAATCAGGAAACAATCTCAAAAATAGGAAACAATCTTAAAAAATAGGAAACTTAGCCTAAGCAAAACGGTAACTTATAATTGATTACAAAACATGAAAGTAATTCATAAGTCAAAAAGGAAAAGTAATCAAAAACTCCAGCCACGTGTCCCTCCCTTGCCTTCCATGCATTCCACACGTCAAGGGCCTATTTCTTGGATTTGATCTTCTTCAATGTTGAATAACACGAAGACTTGTGTTGCCTCTTGGCCCAACAATTCTTCCCCATTATAGAATTCGGCTCTATTGTAAAATTGTTGAACCGTTGACAGCACTTGGGCTTCCAAGTCTTCCACATGCTCCACTTTTTGCTGGCCCTCTTCCAAGTCTTCCACGTGCCCCACTTCATGCTGGCCCACGATCTCCACTTCTTGGTGCTCATCAACAACTTTGTTTGTTTTCTTTTTTTTTGTATTTATTATTTTTTTACCAATCGAAGTATTGGCGATGAGGAAATGAGGACGTAGGAAAGAGAGAAACCGAATAAAGAGAGAGGTCAAACTTGAGAGAGAGAGCTGAAAATAGGGTATAAAGAGCGAGAATGGACGAAGGAGAGTTGAGAGTCTCTTTAAGATGAATTTAAATGATAATTTTGATTTAAGTAACATAAAAATTATTTTACTGCACACTATTAATATGACAATACTAATTGTTAAAATATACAAAAGTAATATTAAAATTAATAATAATTTATTGAAGCGTGCTATTATTAAAATTAACCCTTCTCTCTCTCCATCTCTCTCTTTCGTTCATCTCTTCCGTTCACTGCATTGAGGCAATAACAATGTCGATCTGCTGCCACGACGGTCGCCATCGCCGTCCACGCTAGGAGATTCGCTGCCATTCTCGTTGAAGCTTGGAGATTCGCCGCCATGCCGCCATGTCGTCGAAGCTCGGAGGTCGATCGGAGATCTATCTCTCTCTCTCTCTCTCATCCTCCTCCGATTTTTCTTTCTCTGCACGGCGAGTGACAGATAGCAGCGACAAAGATCCCGGTGGTGACGAAGATCATCGGAATTGCGTGGTTCGGCTGTTGTCGGAGATCGGAGTCCCGACGCTGCCATCTCCGAGTTTCGCGATCCGAGATCGCGACGAACATAGCGACAAGGAGTCCGCCGCTGCCATCTCTCTACTTACGATCTCTCTCTTCTCGGGAATGGCGGACTCCGGCAACGACGTCAAGAATCGAAGGTTGAAGCTTGTAGTGTGGCTCGTCGTCATCACGAATCGAAGGTCGAAGCTCATCGTCGCACAATGACGGAGAAGGGAATAAGACTTGGCCGGAGAAGATTTATTAGCTTCTTTTCTGATTGTTAGTGCATTATTGTTAATTTGAGAAGAAATAAAACCATACATACAATTTTCCATTCACTGGCTATTATAGGGATTTTGATGGTTGTTTCTTGTTAATGTTGTTTATATTCTTGGGTTTGTCTTTTGATTAGGAAAAGTCGAAGAATTATTAAAAAGACGCGACTATTAGGCATTTGTCGAGGAAATTGTTCTGGAATTTCCGTGGATTGTCTTTGGTCTTTTTCATTTGAAAGTTCCTTTCTTTGTTGGCGTTTATGTTATTATTTTTGGTAAATATTGTACTTACCAGTAAATGCTTTATTGAGTTTGAGTTTGAATTTGTTAAATATTATATTTATTAAAAGTGAAGTATTTATTAGTATATATGGTATTTATTGATAAATACAGTATTAAACGGTCAACAAACATGGTGGTTATATAAGTATTTATCGGTAAATACAGTGTTAGATAGTGGTCAAAATATGTGGCCAGATTTTCAGATAAATATGATATTTACTAATAAATATGATATTTATTGATAAATAAAGTATTTACCAGTAAATATAGTGTTAAACGATCGCCGGAGTCGGTGGCCAGATTTACTAGTAAATACGGTATTTACTAGTAAATACATTGTTAAACGGTTGCCGAAGTCGGTGGTGGCCAGATTTTTAGATAAAAATGATATTTACTAGTAAATACGGTGTTTACTGATAAATACAATATTTACAGGTAAATACAGTGTTAAACGGTCGTCGAAGTCGGTGGTCGGATTTTCTTATAAATATGATATTTTTTGGTAAATACAATATTTACCAGTAAATACAGTGTCAAACAGTACTCAAAGTCAGTGGCTGAATTTTTGAATAAATATAATATTTATTAGTAAATACAATATTTATTTGTAAATAAGATATTTATTGGTAAATACAGTGTTAAACAATTGCCAAAAAATTAGTCACCGAATTTTCGAGTAACTATGATATTCACAAGTAAATACGATATTTACTAGTAAATACAGTGTTAAACGGTCACCAAAGTCGATGGCTAGATTTTTGAGTAACTATGATATTTATTAATAAATGTGGTATTTATTGGTAAATACAATATTTACCTATAAATGTGGTATTTATTGATAAATATGATATTTACTTGTAAATACGGCGTTAAACGGTCGCTTAAGTCAGTGGTCGGCTTTTCGGGTAAATATGGTATTTACTAGTAAATATGATATTTATTGGTAAATACAATACTTACCTGTAAATATAGCGAACGGTCGCCAGAGTCGGTGGTCGACTTTTCGGGACTTTTCGGGTAAATATGATATTTATTAGTAAATACGATACTAAATGATAAATACGCTATTTAGAAGTAAATACAATGTTAAACGGTCGCCGGAACCAGTAGCCGGTCCCAACCATGGTGGACTTAACTATAATCTACCTATTTAAAAAAAAATGCTATAATTTACTATTTTTAAAAAAATATATGTTTAGAAGGAATGAGTGAGGTGGAAAAGGAGGTTTAGGGGTATTTTTCAGTTTTTAATAATGTTTAAAACTTAAAATATCAAATTATGTTATAATTTACTAATCACTTTACCAATTATGCTATTTCCTTCTTTATCCCACGTAAAAAATACTTTTATTGGGCTAAAATTAGAGTTTTTTGGGTCATGTCAGTACAAATACTTTCTTTAAAAAAAGAAAAAGAAATAAATGAATACCATTTTTAGAAAGATTTTGTAGCACAAAAAATTGAATTTTAATTTTATAAGAGAAAATACTGTAATAAAAATTTTGGTTGTGATTCGAACTAATGTAACTTTCGGAGTTAATCTATACAACTTATGAGTGAATAACTTGTCTTTTGTAAGTGGTACCTAACTACTAATCCTCATTCAGGCGAGTCAATTTATATAAGAATCTTGATCCGACTCCAATTACTCGACTCCCTTTATCCTGAACCTGAAGTAACTTGTCACACGCATGGTAAAGCAAAAAGGCGCTTAAGCGCATAAGTTCTCAAACACTCTCTCTCTAGTTTACTTCGTTGATGTTCAAACATGACACAACACTATGTGCGACTATGCACAGTGATCAGACTCTCTTTCTTTGTCGGAGCTAGTCGGATGTCCTGGTCTGGTGTTCTTCCATTCAGGAATGGGAATAACATTATCCTTCACCAATGAGTAAGTGAGCTTCGGAGTCAGAGGACACTAGTGTGGTGTATGCTAATGGCTCTTTGACACTCAAGTTAGTGCTTTGATCGAGGGCAATAAATGAGTGAGCAAAGTTAGGTAGAGAAATGTCCTTACCTCAATAAATGATCATGGGGGTATTTATAGTTTGCTTTTAGACCCGAGTTAAACCCACAACCCGTTTGGGCCCTCATGTACGACTGTACGACCATGTCAAGCTTGTGTACAGGTGTCATTAGTCCATGTAAGTCGTACTATGCCTAAATGGAGGGCGGAGATAACTCCAAACAGGAGATCGCGTACGAAACTTCCTTCCCTTGACGCCTCCCACTGAGCATAGATGAGGAGCAGCCTTGCCGAGCGCATATTGGTCCGGGAGACGCTAACAAACAAGAGATGAGGTCTTGCTGTCCAGTTTGGCTGCACTAGCGAACACTTTTCGAAAGCTCTAGATCGTTCGGCAAAGTGATAAGTGGAACAACGATCGATAAACTGGTGCCGATCAGGCCACCAACATACTTAATTTAGTTTCAAAAAGCTGATAGTTACTAAATTTATGAGCTAAAATATAAAAGACCTTTGTTTTTTTTAGAAAATTAAAAAACTTATTTTTGAAAGTGCATATGTTTAAATTTTTATCTTTTACTCTTTATTAATATCTTTTTAACTAATAGAGTATTTAATTTTTTGCTCATCTAACTAATAGAATATTTGATTAAAAGAGTATAATTAAGAGTAAAAGGTAAAATCAAAACCTATGCAATCTAAATGGGTATTTGTCTTTTTTTTTTCCTTTTTTCTTTAATATACAAATACCATCTCTGTGAAAGATTTTTAATAATTTATACAACATCTGAGTGAATAAGCGTACCATCTTGATTCGGGCCAAATTTATAAAAAAGAAACCCGATTGGCTCCGATGACCCGACACTCCTTATCCTGAACTCTGAAGCAACTTGTCGCACGCACGGTAAAGCAAAAAAAAAAAAAAAAAAAAGGCGCATAAGCGCAGAAGTTCTCAAACACACACACACTCTCTCTCTCTCTAGTTTCTCTCTCATCTTTCTGTGTGAGCTGAAGAACTTGAGATAAGACGATGGCTCTTCAGTTTCAAGCAAACTGGAACGCGTCTTTCAAGCCCTCGACATGGCCTTCCAAAACCCATTTTCACATTCCCAAACCCATTCAAACCTCGCTCTTCGCGAAGCCCAGAACCTTCTCCAACATGAATTCACGCTCATTCTCCGAGTTCAAACCCACACCCACAGCCACCCACTCTTCCAGAAAGTTCGCGCTTTCTGCCTCTGCCGTCGCCGCCGAAGACACGACCGTTGATGATTCCACTGTTGAAGATACAGAGGTTCTTATCACTTTCGCTTTCTTTGTTTTCTACAATTTGTCGCTGGAATTTGGATTATTTGCTCAGCCAAAGACTGAATTAGCATGTCTACCAATTTTCTGTTAATGGGCACTTATCCAATTTGCTAGTTATATATATATATATATATATATATATAATATTATGTGTACGCAAAATAATTTGCTTTTTTAAATACTGTGTCAGTGTGTTTATTAGTTTTCTTTTAATGCTTTATTCTCGCTTTTTTTTTTTTGGGGGGCGGGGGGATAAAGTAAGAAGCTTGTTGTTGTAAAGGCATTTCTTTTTTTTATTCTTGAATTTGTTGTTTGGTGATTTAGAAGCTTGGAGTTGTTGTGAAGCCAGTGGCGAAGCCAAGGCTGATATTGAAATTCATTTGGATGGAGAAGAACATTGGAATTGGGCTTGATCAAGTGATACCTGGACATGGGACCATCCCTTTAAGTCCCTACTACTTTTGGCCCAGAAAAGACGCTTGGGAAGAGCTCAAGGTTCTACTAGAAAGCAAGCCTTGGATATCCCAAAAGCAGATGATCATTCTTCTCAATCAGGCTACTGACATTATCAACTTGTGGCAGCAGAGTGGAGGCAATTTGTCTTAATTTACTATGTAGAAAATTTGTTCTTTTATTTATTAGCAGTTTTCTCTGATTTTGGATGAATTTGATATATTTTCCTAGAGAATTGCTTGGCAGGATTTTCTTGATGATAAATTTGTATCCATAGATGTATTAAACTTTGTTGTTTTATCAATTGACTCTGAATTCCTTTTGCTCTGTAATTTCATCTCTCTGTCCAATCCATGGTTACTCTCTGTGGTTTCTGGAACTTCTGGTTAATCTTGACAAAGTTACCATCTGATTGCATTATCAACACACACTTCAGGCTTTCAGTTCTTGGTCTCTTTGGATGGACATCCATAATTAAGCTCAGGTTTTGGTGACCAAATGATTTTAATTGGTTTTTCATGTACCGTAACTAGAGTCACTATGGCTCTTGCACTATCATTCAGATTTTGTAGGATTCAATCCAAATGACTCTTCATTTTGGGCATTGAATACTTGGCGTCCTGAATGGACAAGTAGAACAAAATTTAAAGCAATAATAGCGAGAGAGGAAATAAGAAACAAGAGAACTATACCAATAATGGTATTATTGCTAGTCCAACATTTCAATTATAATAAACTTTCTCAATAATGTTGTTATTCCTCTTTAAATAACAATACCCAATTCACAGACAAAATATCTCCTTCCAAACTTGTATATCTCAATTATTAAAACCCAACTTACGAAAAATAACTAAATAAACAAAAAATATGAATCCCGTATTGAAGTTCACTCGCCACAAGCTATTTGTACAAAAAATAAATGAAAAAATTTAGACCGACCATGCTTTGGAATACACCTATATCCATATTTTTCTGATGTCATTTCTTCACTTTGTTTGCTCAACGCCTGTAAAACTCTAGCCATGTAAAGTTTTCCAGCTTTTTTTTTTCTTTTAAATGGAGACCAATTGCATCAGCATTAGAGATTTGTGTGAGGTCACTCTGGAGATTGAGAAGAAAGCTTAATAATACTGTCTTCATTTGATATTTTGTCATCCGTACTTGCATTAGACAACCTGTTGTGCTTGTTCTCATTAACCGGAAGGTTCTCTGGCCACTTTTTGCTGTCCTTTTCCTCAATATCTGCACATGAAGCAGATGATTTCCTTTCTGTTTCTTTCTTTTCATTCTCTACTTCCACTTCAAGAGGATTATCATTAAGGCTTTCATATCCCATGTCATCTTCACCTTCTGATTCCGATCTTTCCAGGTCCTCAATCGGATGGATCCTTTCATTTTGAGAACCAAGTCTATTAACTAAATCCTCAATCTTCTCTGAGGCTGCATAGCTGGTGATCACAAGAGCTTTGTTTGTTGAAGAAACACCGATATCCGACACAGTCCCTCTTTGATTATCTGACTCATCACGATCTTTGTTGTCCATTGATTTACACATGGAGAGCTCGACAGCAGCTCTAGCAGCGGCTGCTGCATAAGCTGCTGATTCGAAAGCCTCTTGGGCAGCATCTGCCACGTCTGTGTACTTCCTTCTAGCTTTCATTGTTTCAGAAAATTTCTCTACCTGCTTTATATCTTCAAGCAAAGTAGTGTTATGCGTGAGGCCATTTTCATCTGGCTTCGAAGCTTTAGTAGGCTCAATATGCCCATGATTCTGGTTCGCATCGAGTTTCTCCTGCAGCCATTAAAGTTTACAATTGGACTCAGGAGCTCTTACTTCGATACCTTGTAGATTATTATGAATTCTCTTAAAAGCTTAAGCTATTAAGAGAGATGAGACAATTGAATTTTTTTTTTTTCCTTAAAGTTTGTACTAGTTTTTATGCGAGGAAAAAATTTCCTACCTTATCTTCAACAGGAGTATATTCTTCTAGATTTAGAATTACACCAGCTTCTGAAGCAATCTCCTTCAAAAATTTCAGCCGGCTTTCAAGACTTGACCGTCGTGTTGAAAACTTTTGTACTATCTACAGTGGGCAACACAAGATAATTAATTAATCTAAATGAAGAGCAGGAAAAAAAAAATTTGTTCATAATCATATGTCGTAGATAGTCGAACTTCTAATTACTTTAGGATTCACTTCACAATTGTTGCGTAATTCAACTGCGCGAGTAGCAAAATCCTTCCCAAATTTAGGCGTCAAAACCTCACGAATCTTCTGAAGTTCCGGGAACTCGCCACATCTTGAGGCTGCATATATCAAGCTTGATGTTGCCTCTTTGAGCTCTTCAGGACACTCCCCTCTAGAGACACACGTGCATACATAAAGATACAATTGATATAAATAAATACAAGAAACAAGAACCAATTGTCTTTAAAACTTTACGTTATACATAATACTATTATGGATAAACAACTAACTTGCTCTGTGCAATGAGCTTGACCCTTTCCAACAAGAGCTGGCAGAAATATTCTATCAAGGAAAACGCATCCAACTTGTTCTGCTCCATGATCACATGCTCAACCTGTTTAGAATTCCATTAAAGATCAGAACATGATGTAATAACATAAATAAGTGTGTGAGAGAGATTTGGATGGAAAATTTACACGAAGCATAGCGCAGTCTTGTTGTCCGATAAGAAGGAGATCTTTGACATCGGACCGGGCATGAGACAGCCGGCTTTGGTGTTGGTTGGCGAGGATAGCAATCCTAGAACTGGCAAGTTTCAAAAGAGTTTTGAACTTGGACGTCTTGAAGTTCCTTCCAAGCAGGGCGTCCAGTTTCCTACCCATGTTTGCCAAGTATTCACAAGAAGCTTTGAATTAGTAATGTTCAACACCAAAACTTTGCTTATATAGGATGAAGGAATACTAGGTGTCTGTGATTATTTGTTGTCACAGACACCTTGGGAAAAGACACGTGCCATTGTAGTTACAAAGTTGGGTATTAGAGCTGTGATTGTGTACTTACTTACACATGCTCAAGTATGGACCTTGTTTAGAGCAAAATTCGACGTGTTGAAAGGGCCAAACATGTTTTGGTTGAGACGGATTTTATTTACCTTTCTAGAAGAAAGTACTAAGAAGCTTCATCATTTCTTCGTCAGGTAAAACCGTTATTATAACAACTAGAAGAACTATGCTTTTAGGCTAGAACTGCGATTGCTCAGTCTTTTTGGGTCGTATTGTTCAAGTAATTTATCATGCGTTGGATAATTAATCTGAGATTATGAAATTTGAAACTATTTTTTTCAAGTGGGACCCAATAAGAAAAAATTTCAATGGTCTAAGTCCATGCAGACTATCATCCAACGCATGAAAAAGCGTTGTAAATCCGATCGTATGTTGGGGAGACTTGTATATTTTCAGAGGCAAAGAGGCTAATACGAGGAAAGATCAATAGCCAAGTGCAATACGTAAACAAGGAAAATAAAAGTACGGACAAAATACCTTCCCCCACCTCAGAAAAATGTGATACGTCCCCAGAAAAGGAAAATGTGAACCCCAAAAACCTAATAAAATCAAACCAAATTAAGAGGAAGATTAGTGCAAAGAGATTCTGTAGAAACGAAACAGAAAATCATGGCACTTAAACACAAAAAGTCACGTCATTAAACACAAAAAGTCATGTCATACTTAACGCCTGTTTGAAAAGGTGAACTAAAAACTACATGAAATAGGTCCACAAGAAGAAATGGCTCATAATTTGGTACCCACACGGAAACACCTGTCCTTGTAGTTGATAGGTAGTTGCATGTACTCGCCGTTACCAGTCATCATACCTAAGAAATTCTGGTTTTAGTGGCCTGAATTTGTTCTTTCCTATAAAGGGTCAGTTTTCATGTCCAGAGAAAGAAAGGTCATGAATTTTTAAAGAGTCAGAATTCCATTAGCTAGTTTCCACCTTGTTTCCCATGTTCATGTTGGAAAACCAACAACAGAAAATCAGTTGCTCACTGCTGAAAGTTCTGATATGTATATGTATGGTTTTGTGAAGATTGTCTGGAACTGTTAGTCTTTTTTCGAGGTGGTTTCTGTGGCAATTGTGATTGACCTTATGTTAAGATATGTTACAAAGTTTGAGCTGTATAAGATTTGAGATTCCATGTTGTTCATGCAAACCTCTTATTATCATTATTACCTTCAAAACCGCGTGAGTTCGTTTACAAAGAATCACCTTCTCTTGCATAATTTCACTCCCTTTCCATAATTCAAAATATACAGTAGCAAAATAGTTTACAACCTAATAGACAACCAAAAAAAAAAAGAGAGTTTTTCATGCACATGCTCGAGCCTAAGTAGCCGGCTAGATCTCACGCAACATAAGAGTATACTATTTGTTTTTTTCATTCCTACTACTTGCTTTGCTTCAATTTAGTCCTCCTTTAGATGGCCTCCAGTATTTGTTTCGGTTTTTTCATGTCTTGGACTTGAGCTAGGTATGACTTTAGCATAGAATATACCCCTCTCTAAGTCATTCTTCCTCTCCGAATTCCCATACCCTTGAATTGAAATTCCTGATTTTGAAGGCTGGTCATCAAACTGAGTCTCGTATTTTTTTTCATTAGATTTCCTCGGATGATCATGGTCTCCATCCAAAGGCTGCAACAATTCAAGTGCTGCTTTGGCGGCCACTGCTGCATGAGCAGCCAATTTATAAGCCGCTTGAGCTGCAGCCTTGAAATTTTTGTATTTCCACCTTTCCATAACCTGTTCATGGATTTTCTCACCTTGTTTTCGCTCCGTGGACAAATGATCAATGCAGTGTTCTTGGCCATCTTTGTTAGCTGATTCATGGGGAATAAGCTGCTTCTCATTTGTGTCCTGAGTAACCGTTTGAGACTGATCCCGATCTCCCTCATGATGAAGATCGATCCCGTTTGCAACAGCAATTTCCTTCAGCATTGTCAGTTTTCTTTCTGTGTTTGGTCTGTGGGTCGAAAGCTTCAAAACAATCTTGTCCAAAATCAAAGATAATCAGTTTGGTAAAGATAAACATAACAAGAAAATTGGACATGTGACCGTAACATAATATTCAAGCTCACCTTTGGAGAAACTCCACAATTATTGCACAGAACAACTGCATTAGATGCAAACTCCTTACCATATCTTTTCACAAACATGCTACTAATCTTTTCCAAATCTTGCATTTCTCCACATTTTGAGGCTGCAAATATCAAGCTTGATATCGCTTCCTTTAGCTCATCAGGACATTCTCTGTGAACATAACAAGAATTCAAAATGTTTTTGAAATAGTCTGGAATCCAGTTCAGAAGAAAAGGCAATACAAACCTCTTGCTTTCAATTAGCACCACTCTTTCTACCAGAAGATTGCAGAAGTTTTCTATCATGGAATATGCATCTAACATGTTTTGTTCTGTGATTACAAGCTCAACCTGGAAAATAATAATAATAATAAATGCTAATAACAACAACATCCTTCAACTTGAGAGAGCTAGGACGAGAGGAAATTGATTATGATGATGCTAGTGGTGATGAGAAATTACGAGAAGAAGAGCGCTTTCTTGGTGCCCAAGTTTGAGGAGAGCAACGACATCAGACTGGGCTTGCATGCACCGGAGATGGTGCTGCTTCTCCCAAACAGCTATTCTCAAGGAAACAAGTTCAACTAAGCTTTTGAATTTGGCAGTTTTGAAGTCTTTTCCCAGCAGAGCATCCATTTTATTACCCATGTTTCTTTCCCTCTTGATTTTTGTTGAAGGTTCAATATCCTGTTGTGGAAGTGTATCACCAACAAAAGCAAGCTAATAAAATCAAGGATTATAAACTTTTTAAGTGTTACATATATTTAATTATTTCAAATATTCAAACAAACTATATGTGCATTTCCAAGTATGCCATTGATTCTCTAGTTTAGAGTAATGGAAAGTTGATCAATGGAAAGCGACTCCTTAACTGGATATGAGAGGCCATGCATTGTCAAGATCATTATAAACTCTTTCCTTTCTCAACAACTTTGCTGTTAAGTATTTTAGTTGCAGTTTCGGCAATGGAGTTTTCTCTGTCCTCTTTCCTTTAACGATCTAATCAACTCTATATCAAATGAAGAAAGCAATATGCAATGGCCTCAATTCCAAGTAATACTCATCATTTATAGTGGAAAATATTCGCGTTTCTGACGATATTTTTAACACCATTTGACTGGAGAAAAAGTACTCAAAGTTAACACATTTGGACCAAAAAAAAAAAAGTTGGAAGTATGCAATTTGCTGTTGTAATTAAAGCCATTAACACTTTGGGCAATATATTTAAAACTTGATAGAAATCTTGTTCAATTCTTTAAGATAGTTACTTATAGGCCATAAGTCAATATATCAATAACTTCTTCGTTTCACCGAGTAACAATGTCGACGTACATAGGACATCTTTTCAATGATAGTTACAAGTCAAGTTCATCTTCTAATGCGGGCAACTTAGTCTAAGAAAAGTCTTAAAACCTAATTACTGGTGTGGTCTACATAATTCCTTTTCTTAGGGTCCATGATTAAAATGCTTGGTTGATCAAGCAGTTGGAGGAACGAGGGATATAAATTAGGAAACAGTTTTACACTGCAATAGTCAGAGGACATCGGGCAACAAAAGATGCTAACGCAATTTAAATATCTTATAGTTAAAAAGTTAATTATTCTTCCAGTAGTGTATTTTTTTTTTAATATCTTGCCACAGAATTCTTCTTTACGAATTGAGGCAAGTGTAGAAAAGTGTATACCACGCTTAAAATTAGTTGGTCCATGTTTGACCAAGTCTAGACAACGCGTTTCAATTCCATTGCCCACACAAGGAAAAAGTTCCAGAGACCAATAGAAGCTAACATGGTCATCCCAACATTAATGAAACATCAAACACACACGAAACTTGAATTAAAAGGTTGGTTTGCATGTCAACCTCACCCCCAATCTTAAGTTGTTCAGGATCACCAGGAGTGATCAACTTGTTCAATTATTTAGAACATTATGCAGCCGCGTTAAAATAGAGCTGCATCAAGGAAACAGAGTATAAGTTTGAAGATGGTTTACAAGAAAGGAAAAAATAATAATCTAATTATTCCTTAAATCCGGAGTCATACATTAGAAAAATCTGCAGACGTTCTGGTTTAAGACATATGAGCTGTCCCATCGGTCTGAAGAAAAAAAAAAGAAACTAACATATTCATTCATTTAAAAAGCCCCAAAGCAAAAAAAAAAAAAAAAAAAAAAAAAAAAAAAAAAAAACCCCCAAAGCCAAATTATATATAAAGCTTTAAGCTTAAATAAGATTCTGCAGCCCCTAGTTAGCAAATTTCTCGGACTACTGGATTCTGTACGGTAAAACTTTGCAAAGAGTTGGCGATGTGCTTTCTATCATTCTATGCAATAATCCATGCATGACGATGATAATATCACTTTTTTTTTAATTCATTTTTTTTTTCAAGTGACGTGATACTACAAACACTTGCACACCTTTGTCTCCAACATTTCACACCCATACTAATCTCAAGACAATATTCTAATTTTCATTCATTGTAAAGGAAAATAAGATTAAAAAATTAAAAAGGAAAAAAAACCTTTAAAGTAAAAAAGTGACGCACAACTTGGACATTCAAACGAGAAATTAAATGTAAAATCGAAACCAAGATTTGGGACAGAATTCGGAAGATGCTATATCCAAGAGATAATAAGGAGTTGGGAATATTGGGAAAGAAAGGAGAAGGAATTAGACACCCTAAACGCTATAATAATCTGTCCAGCATGTCATATAAGACATAGAAAAGATATAAATAAATGACGCAGAAAACATATATAAACACTGGACTATTGATCGTCATCGAACTCGTGCATGTGATCCAATAGATAGTTGGCAGCCAGCTCCTCATTCTTGTTGCAAGCAAAGTATACTTCCAATACTAGCGCTCTATCAAAACCCATTGCTTCCAGCTACAACCAAAAAACAAAAACAAAAAAAACAAAAAACAAAAACAAAACTAAGACCACAAAAGATAGAGCTCGATACTAGGATTTACATGATGTGTCGTAAAAGTGATTCGAATCAGAGACCAACGAGGAGATCAAAACAAGGTATGGGGAAGAAAAAATTATAGAAATCCAACAAAGGAAGTGACCAAAAATTGACAAACAAACATACACGTTCGATGGCTTCTCGCTCCTCAGGGGTAACAGTCACAGCCTGTGGCATTGCTGCAGACAACTGACCCAGTAGGTTCCTGATCATGCATTAAAAAAAAATAAAAAATAAAAAATAAAAAAAAAATCAGCATGTCTAGATCCAATTACTAACAAAGACTAATAGATAGAGCTGAGCAGATTCATCTCACCCTTCTCCCTCAACAGGTTCATTTATCAGGCGTAAAAAGTCAGCTTGATGCTCTTGAATGAGACGCATGAGCTGTGGATTTTGCTTCCCCAACTCCTGAAGCATGGGCTGCAATAACGTCGGAGTACCGTGAGTACTAATTATCGTCAGACCAAGCTACCAGCAGATTTTTTGATTTCTTAAAAGATGAAAACTAACCTGCAGAATTTGGGGGTTCGCTTGCACCATAGCCCGCAATGCTTGAAACTACAATAAAGGTCAAAAGAACTTCGAAAAATCAATTATGGCAATAAGCAATAAGATTACATTTTGATATCGAAATTTGTATACCTGTGGACTGTTCCGGAGGAAATCCAAGGTGCCAGCACCAACGTTTGAACCCATGCTTGGAAGGCCCTGATTCAAGCAAGATGAACATGATTCATTACTTGCCACAAAAATAAAGTCCAAAGTTAAAGAGGTTAGAGAGTATTCTACCTGTGGGAAGAGATCCAGAGGATTTGCATTAGGACCACCTGTGGGCGCTGCTGGTTGTGAGGCTTGCACTGGAGGATTGATTGCTGGAGGGTTTGCTGCCTGGCCACCAGCAGGAACTTGAGCAGGTGGTGGAACATCTGCCTGTTCAGGAATTCCCTGATGCAGGACATAGTAGATTAGTTTGACAATCTTACCAAACAAGAATTATCATTTTGAAACCACCTCAATCAATCTGTGTCAAAAAAAGAATGATAATGATATCTAAAGGGAAAATCTATCTACAAAATGTAAGTCAAATTTCTATCTTGTATATATTCTTTTCAAGTGACATTGCATATGAGTGAAACAAAATAAAGGAAAAAATTAACTGGAGCATGGATAGATGTAGCAAATACAAGCCCGAATAGTGTACCAGGCACATTGCATAACTTATTGATCATATAATAAATTTTCTGATGAGCCTACACCTGAAAGATTCTGCTTAGTACAATTAAGCAATTGGTAGAAAGTTGTTTTACTTTCGAATTTATGTCTCAAGATGTTCCTTTTGATTAGGGACCAATGGAAATCGAAACAATTAGCCCAAACCAGATAGAATCTGTTGCCGTTGTAATATGTGACGTGCACACACACATATATATACACATGAAACCAAACACAATGTTCAGTTCGGGACATTAGTATCAGCACTTACAGAGTACAGATATTCAACAGCTCTTTCAGGGTTGTTAAAAGCAGCACGTAAAGCACGGACAACGGTATCCCGGTCCCAACTTCCACCACCCATATCAAGAATCTGTTGAACAGTAGCCTCCAAATTACTTCCTGCAACAAGGTTTGACGCTGCTTGTCCATATACGTCCAATTCAGCGCTGCAAAAATCCAACCAACAGCAAAAATAACGCCTTAACTGAATGATGAAAATATAATAAGAAAACAACCAAAACAAGTACTTTAGCAAACAATAATAATAATACTAATAATAACAACAACAACAACAATAATAATAATAATAATTATTATTATTATTATTATTATAATAATAATAATACTCACGAAGCAGTAGGAGCTGCTGCAGGAGCAGGTTCGGGAACAGATTGCGATCAAGAATCTGTTGAACAGTAGCCTCCAAATTACTTCCTGCAACAAGGTTTGACGCTGCTTGTCCATATACGTCCAATTCAGCGCTGCAAAAATCCAACCAACAGCAAAAATAACGCCTTAACTGAATGATGAAAATATAATAAGAAAACAACCAAAACAAGTACTTTAGCAAACAATAATAATAATACTAATAATAACAACAACAACAACAATAATAATAATAATAATAATTATTATTATTATTATTATTATAATAATAATAATACTCACGAAGCAGTAGGAGCTGCTGCAGGAGCAGGTTCGGGAACAGATTGCGGCCTGCATGATTTAACGAAAACAAGGAAAAGGAGGTTAATTAACATTGAAGGAGCCACATTAAATCAAGTTTATCAGGTGAAATTCACTCACGGTGGCGCAACAGAGGCGGGTGTTTCAGATGTTGTTGACGGTGTTGATGACGCAGGAGGAGAAGCAGTTACAGGTTGTGCCTACAGAAACAAATGGCTCTATAAGATGGATTCATCTCTAAGAAGGCAAGACATTGTATAGCAACTAGCCAGCACAAGAGAGCATCTAAATTTTGCTCTGGAAAAGACCATCTAAATTAAAAGCTTTGTATTTTTTCGAAATTTGACATCTAGCACACACCAAGTGAAGCACCATATCATGCCAATAAGTGCTTCAAAAGTGTGAAGCGCCATAGAAAATGTCTTATCAACTCCAATTACAATATAGTTTGTGAGATGTTTGATGGTCCACGCTTACAGTACCAATCAACATATATCCATGTATAGAAATCAGCTGAACAGCTATTTTTATTTCCTACAAGTTAGGAACAAATTACACAAAATGTCAGATGTTCTTTTCATGTGTGAGAGACTTTTCAAGCAATACCTATAAATAGGAGTTTATTTAACTTCCTTTTCTGTTATCTTGATCTTAATTTCAAATATGTGTTCCTTGTCCAAACAACTTATATGTGAAAAGATTCTTTCATAAACTTCAAGAGAAATCTACATGCTTCTTCCATTGAAGATGCAATAAATTCATGCCATACATGCCAACAACGCTTACATCGTAAACTGACCAGAAAAGCTTTCAATAACGCTTTGTACTTACCTGACTTGTAGCTGCACCTGATGTACTTGAGGCTCCACTTGGTGAAGCCTTATTCTACAATTAATAACATGCATAAGTTATAAGATAATCAGAGAAAATATCACACTCAATATGTCAAAAACATATTTATTTTCTTCACAAGAGAGAAAACACACACCTTAGTTATCATAATCACTATAAAACTATTCTCAACAACTTTATTTTCTTCAAGAGTTGTCACATCCTTAAGGACCTTCCCTTGATGAATAAGCATCTGCTGAGAAGCAGGGTAAACGTCAGCACCCTGAACTACCTCTATGTTCTTCTTGACATCGGCAACCTATAAAAGACACAACAACAAAGTATTAGAACATATTGATGCAATGAGCTGAAACTCATGAATAATACAAGAAAAAGGTAGCAAAGAAAGCAGGAAAGAGAAGAAGTGAAAAAAAAAATGTTAAAATTGTAAATTGACAATTTCTACAGGCCTAACCGAAATTTGAACAAAAAAGTTTAAATTTTGTGAGAGGAAACACTGTAGAAAAAAGGTTTGAATAGTATTTTAAACCTATGTAACAAACGCATGGAATGCTTCAACGTTGGATTCAATTTCAACTAAAAGTGACCATCCAGAATAGCACACTAAATCCGCAAATTGGAGAAAATCACATTAATTTGTAAATTGATAATTTCTCCACACCTAACTGCCAAATAAAGCTATGACATTTAATTCAATTTCCATCAAACGTGAATGTCCAGAAGATCACACCAACACCGCACATAATTTACACATTAATTCCACTAATCTACCCAAGACACACAATATACACGCACAAACGTCAACGCAACCAAAAATTGAACCAAAGCAGACAAAAACCTTCCAGAAAATCGGAATATGAATCACAGTGTTTCAAACGCATACATAATTGACGAAGCAAACTACTAAAACAATAAACAGAAACCCAAACGTAAACAAAACAACCCTTAACTGACTATCGTCAATTCCTAAAACCCTAATAACTCAAAATCGTCCCAAAATACCATCAAAATAAGCAGGAAAACTGGGAAATTCCATCCAATTGACAACAAAGTTAGAAATTTAGACAGTACCGTATCTTCGGGTTTCACTTCGATCTCGAAGTGAGTACCCTTGAGTGTCTTGACACAAATCTTCATCTTCTTCTTTGAACTGAAACTGAAGCAGCTATTCTCTCCGGCGAGGTGCGATGGCCGATTGCCGCCGGCGAAAGCTTCGTCGACCAGAGAAATCCCACTCGCCAACGAAGAGGAAAATTTCGGAAAGCGAGAGAGTCCCCTGTTCTCGTTTATATTTTCATATGCAGGGGTTTGATCGGGTAATATAGACATCTACCATATGCGGATATATTTTCAATATAAAAGTGGCCACGTCGTAACGTGGTATTACGTGTCAAAAATATATTGGTTTATAGAGAGTTAGAGTAGAGTAGATTGAAAAAGGGGGAGGGGGATGTGAGATTAAATTTTTAACGGCCCGAGATTACTTGCATCATGTTTGAAATTTTTAACGTAAATATTTATATATTAGACCGTTGAAATTTTAATCCTATATTTAAAATAATAATTTTTACCAATAGTTAAATAGAAGGACAATATCTACCGTAAAAGTTCTCTTAAAAAAACATTAAAATAAAAAGGGTTCAACTTGTTTTTAAGCTCAAATGTCAAACTCTACTTTGATCATTAACTTTTAATATCCTAAAAAAAAAAAAACCTAATTTGCGATTATTTGAGTCACGTTGTAAATTTTTAATGTGAACACTCACAAATTAAACCGTTGATTTAAAAACTTAATCTAATAGTTAAAAATTATAGTTTTACCAATGGTTGAAAGGGATAATATCTACCGTAAAAATTCTATTAAAAATAATAACAAATTAAAAAAATGGCTATTCAACTTGTTTTTACGCCCGAACACCAAACTCTACTTTGGTCACTAACTTTCGACAACTTATGATTTCTCAACCTATTAAATCGTCCTAAATTGGTTCTTTGCCTTCTCACCATTAAAATCTCAACTGAAAATGACATAGCTTCTTTCTAAAAGATCAAGCTCTAATGTGTAATTGCAAAATCAACTCCCATTAAACCATACATAGTTCTAACGTGCAACCATACATAGTTCTAACGTGCCTTTATTTTGGTAAGATTTTAACATCCAAAATCCAAAGGTCTAAACAACCATAGGTCCAAAATCCTTCTACTAATTCCTTTATCTCTCTTTCCTACCACTTTTTCGCTCGCTTTGACTCCTTTGTCTCTGATTTTTTTCGTGAGGTCGTCGATTGTAGGGGTGTAAGAAATAACCTTGAACCCGCATTACCCGACCCTACCATACCTGAAAATGTAGGGTTTTCTTTTTTTTTTAGTTCCAAATTAGCCTAACCCGCATTGTGCAGGTAGGGTTGCGGGGTGATCTCTTTCTGACCCGAGCAGACCTTACCCGGCAGAAAATAGGAGATGAATGTTTAAAAAAAATTAGAAACCCTATGATACCCTTTCTTTCTCTTATTAGTTTCTTTCTCCCTCTTATCTCTCGACCTATTGCGCCGCTCACTCAGTTGGCCGAAGAGTCTCTTGATATTGGCGGTTTCTTTTCTTCCCACTTCCTCCGCTTGTCTGCCATTCCTCCACCGTTCCCTCATTGTTCGTCTTCTTCGTCTCAGACTCTCTCTCGCCGTTTTGAACCCTTGTGTCAACTTCCTCCGCTATGATTCCTTAATTTGATTCTCATGATATTTTTTATGTTTTCTTCTCAAGATTTGTCAATTTTTGTTCCTACACATGAGGGGCAAGCTGAAATTGGAGGTGCTATCGTTCTAGATTGAATTATTTTGCGTGGACTAAAATTCCTATTTCGTTGGATTCATTGTTATCTTTGTAGACTTTGTTTTAATTGTTGGACTGTTTGCTAGATTTTATGGACTGTTAAGAAGTATGTTTTATTAACTTAAAATTATTGGGACTGTTGGACTTGGAATGTTTTTTTAGGACTATTGCATAATGGATGTTAGAGACTAGAGGTTTTGAATGTGTTGAAAGTGTAAGACATATGACTGTTGATAGTTGATAATCTACTTGTTAATTGGAAGAGTTAAAGGAACTGTTTGATTGGGAATTAGTACTACTCCATGAAATGAAATTATGAAATCATCATGTTTGGCAAAAACTGAGTTTTGTCACAAATCTATATGACCAGATTCCCAATTGGCAATTGCTTCTTTCATGTCCAAGAGGAAAAAAAAAAGTTTACCAGGATACTGGATACCATACAAATTTGGCAAAAGCGCACAACAGGGGACACAACCAAACGTCCAGGCCCAACCCGCCCAGCCCACAAAACTAAGCCTACCCGAGGTAACCTGAAGGTTTACAGGTTTGTGAGCCAAATTCAGTGCTGTGACCCAAATTCCCCTCACCCCGAATGTGGCGGCTCGGCCCAAATTTTAGGCCCAGCCCGAGCCTACTCAGCCTACTTACACCCCTAGTCGATTGAGCCGGTGACAAGTCAAAAAGTGAGGTCTGAAGCCGGCGATCCAGTAAAAGGTGTGCTAGAGAGTGGTGAACTGCGTAGGAGGATTCGAGAAACGAAGTCTATGAGATCGTCGATGACAGAACTATAGCACAAGAAAAGTGATGAATGAGGAGATGGAGTATCTGGACTCCGATGGTAACGAGTTGCATATGGGAGGCGTTTTCGTCTTGAGCTTGTTGTCGATGGAAAAGGTTTGCAAGGGGAATAGACAATGAGGAGGCTGTGAAAAAAGGTGGTGGTGCCATGGAGGGTTTAGGGTTCCGACGGGGCTCACGTTGGGTTTGCTAGATCGCTAGAAGGAAGAATGAGTTTCTCCTTTTTTTTTTTTTTTTTTTTTTTTTTTTTTTTTTTTTTTTTTTTTTGTCTTTTTTTTTTTTTTTTTTTTTTTTTTTGTGTTGTTCTTTAATGTATTATAAAAAATAAAATCTTGATTTAATATCTATTTTAATTGTTCCTTTTATTTTTTAAAGGTTATTACAAATTAATTTTATTTTTATTTGATAAAAGATATAATTTTGAATTTAAAAACGGGATTTTTGGTTGACTTTTTTTTATTAAAATATAAAATTTGGGATAACTTGTGTTGATTTTGAGATTAATAATTAAATGGGAGAAAGAGGAAAATATGTCAAGACTTGAGATGAATTAAAATTAATAGGCCAATAGTTTACATAAGTTAATAAATAGGCCAAATTATTATTTTCATCCATAACTTGTCTGGTTATGAACCATAACTTGACAAATTATTGTCTATAATTGTCCATAACTTGTCTGACTATGAACTATAACTTGATAAGTTTGTTCATAACTTATCTGGTTATGAACCATAACTTAACAAGTTATGACCTATTAATTTCTATAACTAAAAATTAACCTATATACTTTCTTAAGCTTTACATATTGACATATTTTCTACTATTTTCTTAATTAAATTTGAACTAAAAATACGAGTAAATGACCCACCAAAAAGAAATAGAAGTAAATGACCATTGATACGTTTTGTGTTATCCATGTGCCATGTGCTAGTCAAGTACAATATACTACCCACAGTCTAAACAACATTTTCAACTGAACCTACCATGCGGCAGATTTTAAAGTGTACATTAACAAACTTTTTAATTTAAGGGTTAATTTGCCAAAATGGACAAATTCAAGAGACAACCATGCAAAGAAACCTTTTTTTTATGAACACTTCTATCAGTCTCCATAGGTTCATGTGCGTTAAAATTTGATGGGCTAAAAACTTCCTTTTTTTTAGAAGAGAAAATTGTTAAACTTTTTCTGTATGAGTTTAAATTTTTATCATTTATTCTTAATTAATATCATTTTACCTAATATAATTATTTAACTAATCGATATATTACTAAAAAAATAAAAAATAAAAATCCAAACTCAATACAGTTTAAAAAAGCATTAGTCTCCTTTTCCTTTTTTAGAAAAACTAAGACCCGCAGAATACGTCAAGAGTAGTTTTATATGGGAATGAAGCTAGGTAGCATTTTTCCTTTTTCATATTCTAACATAATAGTCTCCATAAAGATTATCTGGACGATTTTTCCATTAAAAAAATAAATTATCAATCTAATATTTATTGTCTGTAGTCACCTTTCTTTTCTCAAATTTTATCGTTTGTGTAAAAGTTCATGCTCTCTTTGATTAAAAGAAAACGGGGAAAAAAAATAAAACATAATTACCAATCTGTTGAGCATGTCACGTCAAGTCATATAATAAAGGACGCAGAAAACATATATAAACACTCGGCTATTGATCGTCATCAAACTCGTGCATGTGATCCAATAGATAGTTGGCAGCCAGCTCCTCATTCTTGTTGCAAGCAAAGTATACTTCCAATACTAGCGCTCTATCAAAACCCATTGCTTCCAGCTACAACAAAAAAAACAAAACAAAAAAACAAAACAAAAAAAAAACGACAAAACTAAGACCACAAAAGATAGAGCTCGATACGAGGATTTACATGATGTGTCGTAAAAGTGATTCGAATCAGAGACCAGCGAGGAGATAAAAACAAGGGATGGGGAAGAAAAAATTATAGAAATCCAACAAAGGAAGTGACCAAAAATTGACAAACAAACATACACGTTCGATGGCTTCTCGCTCCTCAGGGGTAACAGTCACAGCCTGTGGCATTGCTGCAGACAACTGACCCAGTAGGTTCCTGATAATGCATTAAATTAAAAAATAAAATAAAAAAAAATTCGGCATGGCTAGATCCAATTACTAACAAAGACTATAAGAAAGAGTCGAGCAGATTCATCTCACCCTTCTCCTCCCTCAACAGGTTCATTGATCAGGCGTAAAAAGTCAGCTTGATGCTCTTGAATGAGACGCATGAGCTGTGGATTTTGCTTCCCTAACTCCTGAAGCATAGGCTGCAATACCATCGCAGTAGCATGAGTACTAATTATTGTCGGTAACAACATGACCAAGCTACCGACAGATTTTTTTATTTCTTAAAGACGAGAACTAACCTGCAGAATTTGGGGGTTTGCTTGCACCATAGCCCGCAATGCTTGAAACTACAACAAAGATTAAAAGAACTTAGGAAAAGCAATCATGGCAATAAGCAATAAAATTACATTTTGATATCAAAATTTGTATACCTGTTGACTGTTCCGGAGGAAATCCAAGGTGCCAGCACCAGCGTTTGAACCCACATTTGGAAGGCCCTGATTCAAGCAAGATGAACATGATTCATTACTTGCCACAAAAATGAAGTCCAAGGTTAAGAGGTTAGAGAGTATTCTACCTGTGGGAAGAGATCCAGAGGATTTTCATTAGGACCGCCAGTGGGTGGTGCTGGTTGTGGGGCTTGCACTGGGGGATTGATTGCTGGAGAGTTTGTTGCCCGGCCACCAGCAGGAACTTGGGCCGCTGGTGGAACATCTGCCTGTTCAGGAATTCCCTGAAGCAGCACATAGAAAATTAGTTTGACAATGTTACCAAACAGGAATATTCTTGAAACCACCTCAATCAATCTCAGTTCAAAGAAAAATGCACAATAGCGTCTTAACAGAAATTTAATTACAAAATTTATGTCAATGTCACCTTATGTACATTTGTTTTCAAGTGATATTGCGTATGATTTTAAAGTTTAAACAGCATACTTCATTTGAGCAAATCCGACAAACTGAAATACTTTGAAAGGCTAGTAAATAAATAAATAAATAAAACTGGATCACGGACAAATGGAGAAGATACAAACCCGAACACCGTACAAGGATATTTGCATTAACTTATTGATCCTACAACAAAACCTTCTTGGGGAGAGATAAGCCTACACCTGAAAGATTCTTGCTAAATACATCTAAGCAATTTATAGACAGTTGTTTGTAGGCCTGAACTCACAAGTCCAGAGAAATAGTCCAAAAACATGGCATATGGGCATGCCGGCATGGTAACAATTTTTATTTTATTTTTTTTCTCTACCAATAAGATGCATAAAAGCTTTATCAAAAAAGATTCAAACAATCAACTCAAACCAGATGGAAACCGCAGCTAACGTATTTCAGGATACAATATATCACAAAAGAAACTTCTGACTCTTAAAAGGTAATTGCAGAGTAGAATGCTTACTCACACACACACATATGTAAAGTAAGAAATCAATATTGACTCCGGAACATGCTAGATCAAGTGATGGGGTGGACAACAAACAGATAAAGGAGTACAAATAGTATTAACGCTTACAGAGTAGAGATATTCAACAGCTCTTTCAGGGTTGTTGAAAGCAGCACGTAAAGCTCGGACAACGGTATCCCGATCCCAACTTCCTCCACCCATATCAATAATCTGTTGAACCGTAGCCTCCAAATTACTTCCCGCAACAAGATTTGATGCTGCTTGGCCATATACATCCAATCCAGATCTGTGAAACCAATCACAATAAAAATTAAAATAAAGGATGTAATAAAACAACAATTAATACAAGTAAACCTTTAGTAAACAAGAAGAAGGATGATAACAATAACAATAACAACAACAACAATAATAGCAGCAGTAAATACTCTACTTACAAAGCAGTAGGAGCTGCTGCAGGGGCAGGAGCAGGGGCAGGAGCAGGGGCAGGTGCAGGAGCAGGGGCAGGTTCAGGAGCAGACTGTGGCCTGCACAGTTAACAAGAGCAAGAAAAAAGAAAGTTAATAACATTTGAAGAAGCCACACTGAATCAAGTCAAGAATTACAACAACACTCACGGTGCAACAGCAGGGGCGGGAGTCTGAGGTGTTGTAGATGGTGTTGACGAGGTAGGAGGAGATGCGCTAACAGGTTGAGCCTACAAAAAGAAATGGCTTCATAAGATGGAGTTCATCTTTTAGAAGGCAAGGCATCATATAATCAACTAGCTGACACGAGAACCATCTACATTAAAAAGTTAACGCATTACTATTCTTTTTGCAATTTATGTTTCATCACAAGTCCTCAGTAATGCACATGTAACAGAAGTTAAGTGAAGCACCATATGATGCGGGTATGTGATTCAAACGTATGAAGCACAATGGAAAGTATCTTCTCAACTCAAGTTGCATTCAAGTGTGGTAAGACTTTTTCAAGCAACACCTACAAACAGGAGTTATTTAAATTCTCTTTATCTTATCTTGATCTTAATCCAGTCTACTTTGCCTTTAAAAAGGGGGAAAAAAAAATCCTCTGGGGCTTGAACCCAAAACTCAAAACATTAAAAGTAACTCATACACCCACAAAACACAGATTGAGACTTTTTCAAGCAACACCTACAAACAGGAGTTATTTAAATACTCTTGATCTTATCTTCATCTTAATCGAGTCTACTTTGCCTTTAAAAAGGAAAAACAAAATCCTCTGGGACTTGAACCCAAAACTCAATACATTAAAAGTAACTCATACAGCCACAAAACACAGATTGAAACTTTTTCAAGCAACACCTACAAACAGGAGTTATTTAAATACTCTTTATCGTATCTTCATCTTAATCCAGTCTACTTTGCCTTTAAAAAGGAAAAAAAAAAATCCTCTGGGACTTGGAACCCAAAACTCAATACATTAAAAGTAACTCATACACCCACAATACACAGATTGAGCTAGCCATAATTGGCCAACTAGACTGAAAATTGAGGTATTATTTTTCTATTCTAGGTGTGCCTTATCCAAACAACGCTAAAAAAAAGGAGTATTCATCATAACCTTCAATAGAAACCTCTGTAATACACAATAACTTCATTCCAAATATGCCAACAATGCTCACAACATAAACTGACCGCAAAGGTTTTTAGCAGCATTTTGTACTTACCTGACTTGTCGCTGCACCTGCTGTACTTGAGGCTCTGCTTGGTGAAGCCTTATTCTATAATTATTGAACATACATAAGTTAAAAGATACTCTGAGCAATTACCATACTCAATATCTACAAAACTATATTGTACTTACCTGAGCAATTACCATACTCAATATCTACAAAACTATATTGTACTTACCTGAGCAATTATAGAATAAGGCTTGGTGAAGCCTTATTCTATAATTATTGACCATACATAAGTTAAAAGATACTCTGAGCAATTACCATACTCAATATCTACAAAACTATATTGTACTTACCATACTCAATATCTACAAAAAGTTTTTAGCAGCATTTTGTACTAACCTGACTTGTCGCTGCACCTGCTGTACTTGAGGCTCCACTTGGTGAAGCCTTATTCTATAATTATTGAACATACATAAGTTAAAAGATACTCTGAGAAATTACCATACTCAATATCTACAAAACGATATTGATCAATCATGAAAAAAGTAAAATAATAATAGAAAAAAAAAGAGTAAAGATTACGCAGTGTCCCTCTTTAGCAAAAGTAACAACAATGCCCCACATGTTTTCCCAACTTTTCACAACTATCTTGGAAAGAAAAGCACACTCCACACGAGAGAAAACACACACCTTAGTTATCATGATCACTATAAAACTATTCTCAACAACTTTATTTTCTTCAAGAGTTGTCGTATCCTTAAGAACCTTCCCCTGATGAATAAGCATCTGCTGAGAAGCAGGGTAAACGTCAGCACCCTGAACTGCCTCTATGTTCTTCTTGACATCAGCAACCTAGAAAAGACGCATCAAATTATTATAACAAATTGACGCATAAAAGTGAGAAAAAACAGTAGCAAAGGAAGCATGAAAGAAAAGTGCACAATTGGAACGAAAATTCACGTCCAACTTGTAATTGACAATTTCTCCACGCCTAACCACCAAACAAAGTTTCGAGTTTCAAAATTAGGATTCAATTTTCATCAAAAGTAAATATCCATAAAAGCACATTAAATCCACAAATTGGAAGAGAAAATGACACTAAACTTGTAAATTGATAATCTCTCCACACCTAATAGCCAAATAAAGCTATAACAAATGGATACAATTTCCATCAAAATTGAAATTCCAGAAATCACACCAATTCCGCGCACAAGTTACACATTAATTCGACTAATTTACCCCAGATAAATAAAATATGCACGCCCAAACGTCAACACAACAAAATAGTTGAACCAAAAACAAAATCCAGAAAATCGAAACATAGATCAAAATGTTTCAAAAGCAGATATAATTGAACCAGAAACCCAAAAATACCCAATACCAAAACATGAACCCAAAAAAAAAACCCTAATTGACTACCGTCAATTCCTAAACCCTAATTACTCAAAATCGACTCAAATTACTATCAAAATAAGCAAGAAAAACGGACTACTTCATCTAATTGAAAACAAAAGTAAGAAATTTAGACTGTACCGTATCTTCGGGTTTCACTTCGATCTCGAAGTGAGTACCCTTGAGTGTCTTCACGCAAACCTTCATCTTCTGCTATGAACTGAAACTAAAGCCGCTATTACTCTCAGGCTATGTTCGACGACCGATTGCCGCCGGCGAAAGCTTCGTGGACCAGAGAAATCCGAGTCGCCACGGAAAGGACAATTTCGAAAACTAGAGTGAGTGAAGAGTCCTCTGTTCTTGTTTATATGTTCAGATGCCGGGAGACTGATCACGTTACAGTGACATCTATTATAGTAAGTGTAGGACCTCACGTTAAGAATCTCCACGTCGGAAGGTCGCGGATTTGTAGTACGTGTCGCGTTTCTACTGGGTAATATCAGGCTTGGGAAGTAAGTTTTTTTTTTTTTTTTTTTTTTTTTTTTTTTTTTTGCTGGAGGCTTGGGGAGTAGGTTAGGTTTCTAAGATTTTTTTTTAGAAGACTTTTCTGTTAATAATTGTTTGCGAAAAACGTGATAATGTTCTAATTAAAATACTAATACTAACAATTAATCAACCAGAATAAATAATTTCAAGTATCTACTTGGGGTTCGAATTGGCCAAATCTCAATATATTGATAATTTATTTGGTTCATGGATTCATAATTATTCTCGATTTATGTGTATTTTTTATGAGAAAAAATACTGTAGCGAGCCACGAACCATTATATAAACCATGGCACGAATCCACCAACTAAACGCACTCTTATAGTAAACGAGTATCATTAAAGTTATCTCATTCTTTCTTTTTTTTTTTAATGATGAAACACAAAATCGCGTTTAGAACTCATTCCAAGATTATTTTATTTTTTGTATGAAAATGAAAATGAAAACGTTTTCAATTTCAGACAGAAATCATTTTTGAAAATGTGTTTGGTAGTTTTATCAATAGATTATTTTCAGTGTAAAAAAACTCATTAATATCTCTTTCTCTTTCTCTGCTCGAGAGAGGAGAAAACGAAAACAAAAAATAAAAAACGACTAAAAGTCATTTTTCATTTCTCTCTCATTTTACACTAAAGTAAAAAATCGTTTTCATTTCTATTTTTTATCTTTATTATACCAAACGCCGTTTTGAAAACGTTTTTATTTTTTTTCTCAAAAAATGTGAGAAAAAAAGGGGATCAATTCCAAACACAAATAATTTCTTTATTTCTATGCATACCTGCCAAAAATAAAATTACATGTCTTCCGCGCCAAGCAAATTAGATGGTAGAAAATCTTCGCATTACATGTACGAATTTGTGGTGATTGGATATTTCTTTAGAGGAATACTTTTTTGTTAAATTGTTTTACGTCTCATTCACTTCACGAATTCAAGTTTTTAGTTCGAGTTGAGATGTGATATTTTTTGAGAACTTTTTATTATAGCAAAAAAAGTTAGATATGACATTTTCTGATAGTTTTTTACTGTAGAAACTTAAAACTAAAAACTCGAATCGGTAAAATGAACGAGGGCTACTTTTTTTCTTCTGCACATATGTAATGTAATCTAAAAAGATTTAAAAATAAAACACACATTTATCAATATGCTTTTATTGTCTATAGTTTTCTTTTTGCTTTTTTAATTTCTTTTGGTTGTTGATCTATTTAGTTGACTGTTGTCGTTTTTAAGGTTTCTATCATTGTTACTTTTATCGTTCTATTGTTGTCATCTTTGATGCTTGTCGTCTTTTGTATTCGTTGTCGTTTTTATGGTTTATGTCGTTTGTCTGATCAATATTGTTTATAATTCATTTTTGTTCTTATCGTCTTTCAAGCCCTCAGCTTTAATTCGTTATCGTTTTACGGTTGCTTCCCTTTTCCGGTGTCATCGTTTGTAATGCTTGATATCTCATTTATTTGTCGTTATCCTTTTCCTTTGTGTTGTCGTCTTTCACTGTTTTTATGGGACCATTGGTAATATTTTTAAAATGATTTTATTTTTATTATAAAAGTGAAAATAAGATTGTATTGAAAATTATTCTCAGATCGATTATGAAACTGCGTTTGGTTAGATTTTTAAGAGATTATTTTAAGTATAATAAAAATATAAAATCATGTTTAGTTATATTTATGAAATTTTATTTTGAGTACACGTAATTAATAATCTTAAACTAAGATATATCAAGTAATTAATAATCACTTACTAAATAAAAACTAATATATTAATAATAATAATATAATAATAATAATAGATATTATCATTAATATATAAATAATTTATTAATATTTAATTTACTAATTAAATAATTAACTTATAGTCACATAATTAAATAATTTATTAATTAATTACTAATATTTATTTAATACTCTATTATTTGATATATTAAATGATCAATTTTTGGTAACTATTATTTAAATAATTATTAATTACTTATTATCAATTATTAAATACTATTGATTAGTATATTACATAATTAATAATTATAATATAATATTAACCATTAATTGAGTGATTACTGCTTGTTTTTTATTTATCAACCATTTACTAATTAATTAATTATAGCTGATATAATATATGATTGATAAATTAAAAATTTGTTATTTATTTAACAATCTATTATTAATTATTCTATTATTAATATATTATATAATCAATTTTTGACAGTTAATGTGTAACTAAATAATTAATTACTGTTTATTATTTATTATCTTTATTAATAAAATTACAAATTTAATAATAATAAATTAATAATTAAGTAATTACTTTCTATTTATTAGTTATTAATCATATTTATTTATTATTATTAATTATTAATTAACGTGTTATATAATTAATAATTAATAATAATTATTTAAGATAACATTGTTGATAAGTACTAAAAAATGAAAACAAAAAAGGAAAAACAACCTTAAATTGTTTTCTACTTCCTTCATAAAAATCATTCTCATTGTTTTTGTTTTCGTTTTCAAAACATTTACTAAACAAACGCAGGTTGTAGATCGTTTTTATTTTTTGTACCTCGCGCGGAAACATTTTTGAAAACAACCAAAACCTATAAGATTGCTGCCCTTTTTTTTTCTAAATTTTATAAGTTTTCCTTTTGTTATCCTTTTAGGTTCTGTGTGATGTTGTTTTTAAAAATTTTCCGTCTTATCCACTTTATTGATGTTTTAAAGGTCATCGTCTTATCTTTCAGATTGCTTTCATTTGAATTTTTTTATCGTTTTAAGGTTTCTGTTATTTTCCATTTTATTGTCATGTTTAGTTGTGTCATCGTTTATTTACCTATTGATTTACAAGTTAATGTCGCTTTCCTTTCTTGCTACTGGATATGTCGTTTGTCCTGTAGGGAATCTTTTTTTTTTTATTAATGCTAAATTCTTGCCGTTTTTAAATTCTTTTACGTTGTCAAATTTGCTGTCATTTTCCATGCTGGTCGTTTCTTATTTGTTCCTTTTCATATTGTTGTCGTTTCTAGATTCTTTTTACGTTGTCGTGTTCCCATTTTTTTGGGACGGGTTTCCAATCCGCCCACCAAGTTTTCGATTTTTTGGTGGCTGTTTGAACCCGCCCGCCCATCAATTTCTTTACACATACATATTTATATATATATTTCCCATAAATGTTTTTTAACTCAATTTCTTCGCTCTTTTTCTTCGTTCCAAGTCCAACACTGTGGTAGATTGATCTACTAAATTAAAGTGCTTGCTGCAAATTGGTTAAAAAAAGTTTTTTTTTTTTTTTTTAAAGATAAAAGGTAACAAAATTAACTCAAAATTATTAACCCTCCCACCAAATTGCTTGCCCACACCCGTTTCTAGCCTACCCAACCCACTACTTAGCTCAAAATTATTTTACTTTATTCTTTCTCCATACGCTTTCTGTCGTTTTCCTATGTGTTGTCGTTGTGATGCAGGATAATTTGTAAACTAAGAACAGTAAATAGCCCGTTTCAATTGATCAGTGGAAAACTGGAAAAATGTACAAGATATAATAAGAACAGTAAAATAGCTATCTTCTTATTGACTTTCTACTGTTACAACCGTGCACTTGTCATGCAACTTTTACAGGAGGGCATAGAAAAATTCCTCGAGCATAAACAAAATCCCCATTCAATAAGATTTAAATACAATGAAAATGTTTTTGCTAGGAACAAGGAAGAAAAAAAAAACCTTGATATCTCTACTTCTGCAAAAGAAAATCCACGGCAACTGTGCTGTTGGATTAAAACGAGAGCCACCTGACTGAATTTCCACACAAAACGACCATGGAAATAGCAACAAGTCTTCTTCTACATGGAATTTTTCCCTCTTTCACGAGAACATCACACCAATCTTCTTGGCAAAGTCATCATCACCGTCTTCATCTTCCAAGTATTCCTCCTCACCCTCCTCCGCATTCTCCCCATCATATTCTCCCTCCTCCTCACCTTGCTCAAAATCATACTCCCCATGCGTCTGATCTTCAGCTTCCAGCTCCTGATCATCCACAGTTTCATCATAAATCATTCCGTCTTCGACCTCGAGATCATTGGCGTCAGGTGCATGAGAGTCGGGACCCTCGATTTTTTCATCTTCCGTCCCAACTACATCAATAGTTGCAGACTTAGACTCTTCTTTGTTGCTAAACACGCTGCTATTTCCTTCTTCCTTGGCAAGACTTGACGAAACGCGTCGCGCTTCACTAATGGATTTTGCACTTCCAGAACCTGCTGCTTCAGCTTCTCTCTTCCTCTTCAAAATCTCACTCAGTGGTTTTGGTCCTTCAAATGAGCGATCGCCTTCAGGTGGTTGAGAAACCTCCATCCTCGTACTTTTCCGCTTTCCAAGGTGTGAATGCTCCTTATTTTCTGTGACCTTCCCCACTTTCAGTTCAGACAATTTTTTTGGGGCAGCAAAATCAGTACCCTCATCTGTAGCTTCTCTTCCCGGGGGAAAACCCCTGAAAATTCTTCCCTCACTATTGTAGTCCTCCTGCACTTTGCCTTTTAACCTGTCTCGTAACCTTCCTTGGTGGATGGAGCTTTGAGGCCTGCTTGGTGACAATCTACCCCGACTCCTCCCTCTGTCAAATTCCCTGTCATGGCGCAAATCACCACCATTTACAGAAGATCCTCCAGGAAGCTTTATTCTACCTCGAAGGCGACTACTAAGGGGGCCCTCATGTTGCAGCATCTGGTGTGAGTCTCTTCGAGAAGAACCCCTGTAATTTCGTTCATCAACATGAGTGTCATGTGCATGTTCATGACTGATGACAGATCTCAAACCATTTACTCTCCTCTGCTTGGACAACCGATACCTTAGATCTGACTCATCAATGTTGTCTGGACTATGAGATTTGCGATAACCCGTCCTCTCAAATTGAGCGGCCCCACCTACCGTTCTTTCAGACGAAGCCCTGTGCTGCTCCCAAGCATACTGGCCTTGCATGTGATCATAAGAGTCATAGCCATGCGGATTTGCTGAACCATAACCAGCAGACTGGTCCATGTCATATTCATCAACAGAACTCAAGTTTCTTCCATCAAGACCTCTTGCTCTGCCATATTGATCTTCACCATGAAAGTAATCAGGATCTCTGAGCTCATCATCCACAAGAACATCAAAACCAGGAGAGGACTCCCTCAAAAACTCATCAGCATCCTTACCATTCTGGAAGCCATGATCATCAGATACATTAACTTGATGCGAACGATTTGACCTAGTCGTTGAAATTCCATTCATAACAAGAGCACTCACTGCTTTGGATCTGAGAGCCTCATTGTCAAAAGACTTGCTTGATGGCACACTCCTCTCAATGCTAACTCCATTTCTCGGTGGAGCATTTTCAACCTTTGGAACATGATTAGCTTCAGGAGCTACTCCAACTGGCTTTGAGATACTTGCTAGTGGAAACATTTGCTCTTGAGTGCACTTCTGAAGGCCACCAAAAGCCTTCTTAACATTTGATGGCTCAGAACCATGCGTCACTGCTGAAGCCTGTGAGACTTTAGTACTGGTCGTGGGATTTGGTCCATGCGAGAAGGCGCATCTATCACCTTTTAAGCAATACCCCTTTTGGAAAAAAATGCAGGGAACAGCCTGCTTACTAGAGTTGTTGGTAGCAGGTGGTACAGACGCCGCTGTTGTTACAGACACTGCTGTCGCCTGTGAAGAGGGTAGAGCAGATCCCGCTGAAGGCGCTGCTTGGGTTCCTAACAGACCATCAAGAGGCTGAAGAAAGAAGAGTAGTTGTCAAAAATAGTTTCACACAACATGAGCATATTTCAGATATACAAATGCGGTCACGTAATCAACCTGAATAGGGGAACACACTTACCGGATGTCGGAAAGCACATTTTGGATTCAAGCAATTACCATTCAACCAGTACCAGCAGTCCCTAGGATTGACCCGGGCATATTCACTGTGGCGATACTCACATTCACCTCCCTGTTGGAAAGGATGAAAAGGAACTAAGAGGCAAAACTTTGTTTCATAATAAATACCAATGTCAACAATGTGTGAATACTACATACATAGGATGACTTTTTTCTGCTATACATTATAAAAGTGAACATACCTTTTTGCATGTGAGTGGCGAAGCAAGAAAGTATACGCAATCAGTATTTCTCTTCAGGGCCTCCTCCTCAGCAGAAAGTGGCGGTTGCTGTTGTTGTGGTTGTGGCTGTTGCTGTGCACCCGCTACCATGGCGGTTTTCCTCCGAAATTGCAAAGAATTGTCTTTGTTTCAACTTGAATTTGCAGTCAAATCTTTTCGAGAGAAATCCAAAGAAGAGCTGCCACGGAAATAATAACATCAATTCACTAATTGGAAAATCAATGATGTTCCAAAGGACACAAATTATAAGAATTCTGATCCGATGATCAATGTATTATACATCAATTTATTATTTTAATTCAAACAGTAATAATAAGCAGACAGAATATTCCCACCACTTGACTTATAAAATCGCAAAACAAAGTTTAACTTTTAAAAGATTGAGTCCATACAAACAAATTAGAATTCCTAAGAAGTAACAGCAAATCTTTTTCTTTTTTTTCTTCTCCCTTTCTCAAAAAATACAGCCCAGTTATGAAAAGTAGTAAAAAACCAAGATACTCAAGAATAAAAGTAGCAATCCTAACCACCTAGTTACACCACAGTATGCAACTCTTTACAACAATACACACTAAATCAAAACTTCAGAGCAAATAAGGGAAAAAAATCGACAACAACAAAAAAAAATCAATTTAAAGCAAACAAAAGAGGTATTCTCCAATTCCAACGAACGGTGGATCTTAAGAACATGCCAAAGCTAGATTTCAGTAAAAAGAAAAAGAAAAAAAAAACTTTTGACCTAAATTACAAAAATTTCTAATAGATCACCAAAATAAATAAGAAAAAAGACAGAAAATTAGCGTGTTTTACCTTACGAATATATGCTTCGATCGGAAGTCGAAACCCGAACCCTAAGAGAGAGAATTGACTGATAGCCGCCAACGAAATCTGAAATTTGTAGACATGGTCAGAAGAGTAGAGAGAGAAAGAGAATCATACAAGGATTAAACTTGAGGAATAGTAGAAATTTACCAGAGATCGGGGATGAGAGAGAAGCAACAGATCTGAGAAGGAGAGAGAAAGAGAAGAGAGAGAGAGACCTTGGATGAGCAGACAGAGCTTTAGGGCGAAATTTCTGTACGTGAGGCTACACTTCTCTCATCTACCTACTTCTGAAACTCTCAGATGGATGTGGACCGTCCGATCAAATAAAAAAGAACGATCAGATTTGTGGACAAAGAAGCGAGAGTGAGAGAGAGATAGAGAGCTGTGGCCGCACGTGCAAGGCACGTGTGCAGTGGTGAATTTCTTTTTTGTTTTTATTTTATTATTTTATTTCTATTTTTGGTAATGAATGGTTGAAGAGGTTAAAGCGAGAAGGGTTCGAATTCGGGTTCAAGTTTTCTGTTTCTTGTTTGATGATTGGTTCTTTTTCTTGTGGAATGACGAAAAAGGACGGACAAAATCAGCTGAATTTCATCTCCAATGTGTGAAAATTTGAAGTTGTCGCAAATATATGGGATCCAATAAATGCCAATAAATGCAATTGGATATGGGGCAAGGGATAAACTAATGGCAAACTGTAACCTTTAAAATTACTTATATTTGTTATTGGGCTTTTACATTTTTATACTCTGTATTTTAAGATTATTAAAAAAATCATACCTTCTACTTTGAAATGTATTTATCTATACACTGACATTTCAAATTCATATTTGATTTTTTTTACCTTACCTCAATCAATGGTTAATTTTGAATAAAAAAATAATTCAAAAAATGAATAAAAAAATAAGGAAGAAATGCAAAATATGCAGGACGTTGGGTCTTTTTCATACTCAAAATCAATCTTTGAACTAAAAAAAAAAAGTAAGCATTTAACATGAATTTGAAATATAAAGAAAGAAATATCATACAATCTAAATATATAAAGAATGATTTTTTCATAACCTTAAATTTTAAGATGTAAAAATAATTAAAACATATTATTAATCTTCCAAACACTTTTGTAGCAATATATATATATATAGACTTTGTTTTTTGTTTTTTTTTCCTTTTTATCTTTTATACATTGCATTTCAAGGTTATTAAAAAGTAGATCCATTGTCTTCGATTCTTGAATGTGCATACCATCAAAGAGGCAACAGCCAAATGTATTATGCCTAATGTATTATGCCTCTTGTTAGTCAACAATTAATCTCTAAGTATGAAACATGTTCAAAATATCCTAAAGCATAAAAGAAATAAAAAACAAAACAAAACAAAATCTAAAAATTTTAAGAAGAAACCAAACATTTTTTGGATATTCTCAGGGAGCTTTGGTGTCAAAAAAGAGAGTGAGAGGTGAGAGGTAGACGGCCGCCACACTTTTTGGTTGGCGGAGGAAGGGGTGTTGCAATCTCAGTTAGGATGGGGCGCATCACGATCTCAGATGGGAAAGTTAGGGGCAAAATTATCTTAACAGGGAGGGGATCATTGATGAGAATAAGGATGGTTGTGGTCGATCTCGGTGCATGTTTAAAAAATTGGATTTTTATTTGTTATTACATTTTTATTTTAGTTTGTTTTTATTCTCTTCCTCTCTAGGATATTTTGGTAATCTTCTTAGCCAAAAATTACTGTTGACCTATCAAAGGCATACATTTGTCTATTAAATACAATTTGATGGTAAAACTAAAAATACACTATTAAATAGCCCTAAAATATAGGGTATAAAAGGCTTTAAAAACCCTTGATTTTATTATGAGTCTTTTTACTCATATTTTATGCACTCTTTTTCTCTCTCTCTCTCTTTTATTTTTAAAGGGGGAATTTAATCCTATAAAACAATGAAGTTTGAAAATAATGACGTTGCAAGTAAAATATTAAAACGCTATCGTTTACAACTAAGAAAATATTATAAGACAAGGACAAGGAAGTATATCCAACATAAAGTAGGAAACCACTTTAAGTAAACTGCACATTCTATGTGCTGCATTAAGAAGAAAATGCACTGTGCATACCACATAAGTGGTGTAGGAGTATATGTAGGAGTATATTTGAACTTAAGAGGCAGTTAGCGTGGCATGTAGGAGTATATTTGAACTTAAGAGGCAGTCGGTGTGGCTTGAACCTCGAAGAAGTGTTTAAGGCCTCGTTCATTTCACCGATTCGAGTTTTCAGTTCTAAGTTTCTACAGTAAAAAGCTCTCATAAAATGTCACATCTAACTTTTTTTGCTACAATAAAAAGCTCTCTGAAAATATCACATCTCAGCTCGAATTGAAAACTCGAATCTACAAAGTGAACAAGACCTAAGTCCATTCATTAGATGCAACCACAAATTCTTAAGGGAATTCTGAAAGTAAGCGCCCAAAAGAATAATATTTGGGTTGGATTCCCGAGTTTGGTTATGGGTGGAGTTTAAAAATTACGGTCCCTTTCGTTTCGTTAATTCAAATTACAACTCAAGTTTTGTTATAGTGTTTTTTCTCTCAAAAATTCAAATTTAACTTTTTCTACGACAATATTTTCTTTCACATGAATAAACTCTTTAATTCAAGTTCTTAACTTAAACAAGTGATACGAACGAGGCCTTATTTACATATCTCCCATTAGTTGTAACTTTTGGGAAAAAAAAAAAGTTGTGTCACGCCTACATCAGTTTGTATTAGAATAGGCGGACCCAAGTTCAAGTCCTCAAGGGCTCATGATGGAGGGGGAATTTTTCTAAGGAAGAGAGAACGGGGCAAAAACATACTTGCATTTGGGAGACAACCTACATAAATTGGGCCTTGAGAAAGTGCATGAACTCGTCCGTTGAGTGCCCTCACGAATTCGTACAGGGCTCTTAAAAGTAAGAGCCTGAACAAATAACAGTAAAAGGAGAAATTTTGTAAGAGTTATTGAAGTTCATGAGAAAAAAGTTAAAATTAAAGTTCGGGAGCATTTTGTGACCATGCCCGTAGTTCGAGGGGCAACCATATAATTTGTCCACAATTTAACTTTAGTAGTGAGTTTGCTAATTGATTTCACCACTTTTTACTGTGTGCTTAGGCTATGAGGTGGCCTTTTCCTTAGATTTTTATCTCTCTCCTAAAAAGACTGCTATTTTACCATTTACACCAACTCAGACCTCCCATTTTCATTAAGTTGAAGAAATTATTATTGGAATATTAATTTGGAATGTAACAAATTGACCAACATATATCGATTAGAAATTTAAAAATTTAAGGTCATTCATTTTATAGGTTCAAATGGATATCTAAGTATCTATTTGGTTTGTTGATTTGAATTGTGTTGATTTAAACTTTTTTATTTGAACATAAAAATTCAAACAGTGTGGTTTAAACAGTAATTTGAACTTACGTTTGAATGTGCAGTAGAATTTTTAATCTGAGCAGGGAATAAAATCTAAATTAGTGTTTGGATGAGTCTCGAAAACTGTAGTTTGAACTTAATTGGAGTTGATAATAATAAATTTTTTTAACTAAATGAAATCAAAAGTTGACCAAAAATACATCAAAGAAAATAAAAAAGTAAATAAAATTGAGTTTTTAAAATATTTTTTAATAATTATTTGGAAACACACAAACTATGGCTAATTTGTAACAAATAAAATAAACAAATATGGCAATATAATACCATATACCCAGAATTGAAGGCAAATTAATAGCAAATTTTTAGAGAGAAAAATGTGGGAGTGATGGATCAAGCTTTGAATAAAGTTTGAAAAGTGGAGTGAGTGGAGTTTCACACGAGAACATATGCTCATAACGGATAAAATTAGAATTGTGAGAGTGAGTATACTGTAGATGAATAGTTTGAAAAGTAGAATTGATAGGAGGGATTAAACTACTTTTTGAACAGTTCAGTTCAAACTACATGGGGCATTCAATTTAAATAATTTCCCAAATTAAATGCCATTTAAGATTAAATAGAACACTATAATAAAAATTAAGGCTGTTCAAAATAACTGTAAAATTGACACCGACCGTTAATCGACCGATCACCACACATGGGCGATTGATTGGCAGTTCCAATGGCCTAGGTCGTCAGTTAAACCGAACCGACCGACCACTTTACACACTTAAAAAAAATAAAGATTTGTAAAGGTGGAGATTTGAACCTTTAACTTAAAAATTGAAAGAACATTAACTAACCATTGAACAACAATGTCCTTGTTAGTATTATTGTGGTTTCAATAATATTTATTAATATTAACCAACTACTATTACACACTTAAAAAATAAACCAAAGTTTTGTAGAGGTGGAGGTTTGAGCGTAGAAAAATATTAACTAACCACTGAACCACATTGTCTTCGTTGTTATACTTGTGGGCTCAATAATATTTATAAATATTTTACGTTTTCTAGACTTTGTCAACTAACAACTGAAATTGCAAGAGTCTCACACGGAGAAGAGATGAAAAAATCCTTCCTCAACTACTTTATATAAAGAAGTGAGTCACTCCATGGCCTCACACTTAATTTTAACTATATTAATAGTTGAAATTGGGCTTCAACAGAAGTTTTTTTTTTTCTCTTAATTTTGACTATTAATAGTTAAAATTGATGAAAAAAATATTATTTATAATTTTTTTAATTAACATCAATTTTGATGGGAGCCGACTGCCGGAAACCAATCATAATTCGGTCAGTTAACCGATTGAAGGCTCTCATTTACGGTAAACGTACAATAGCATTGATGAGTTGGAAGTTCAAAGCCTTAAAATCTTCAACTCTCTAGGCCCAAAAAGGCTGGATTTGAGACTAGTAACAGGTTCACTAACGGACTGGATATCCTAAATTATAAATACCATTTTAAAATGTATAAATTAAAATTTTTACTCTTTATTTTTTATTTATAATTTTTTTAGTTAAATAATTACATTAAAAAAAGAGTATTTATTACGAGAAAGGGATAAAACTCTTCTCTATTTTTCCCCTGATTATTTGGGCTCTTGGTTTAGAGACGAGAGTATTTCACGTGGAGGATCTGTAGAAAATGCTGCAAAGATGGGCCTTCGAATGATGTCTGTCATGATCAGTAACATTATCAGATTAAAGGCATGTTTGGCAGGGAGAAAAGAGAGTAGAATGG